CTCTCTGATAATGAGTTCTGAGGTCCCTCTTGAGACCTATCCTCAAGCAGAATCCTGTAATCTGTCCATACAAGGACAGAGATTAAGAAAATGCCATTGGGGAATTCACAAAAATCAAAAAGGTACTTGGCAAAGCCCTTTCCCAACCCCAAAAAAATTATTAAAGGGCATACACAATGTTCCTACCACAAAATTAGTCTGGTCAATAATATAATGCAATGTTTATCCTTCTAGGGAAAAAGAGCAATGAAGTTAATAAGAAGAAAAAAAGTAAATATTTTTAAATGTGGTAGAGAGGATTTTTACTGCTAACCTTTTATAATTAATAGCATGCTCAGAAGAAACAAAGGAAAGAGGGTACAACTTAAAATTAAAGTGCCATGGAGAATATCATTATACTAAAAGTATAAAGAGGTAGAGAATGGTCAGTTTAAAAAACAAAACTTCTTTAAGAATATAAATATGCCCTTTCAGAGATTTTCTTTACCCACTGGTACAGAGGACACATGAGTTTTCTCAAAAAGTAATTCCTAGTGAATGATAGCTTTTTAAACACTGCCCCCTAATGTTCATACTCCGAAATGGTAAGAGGACCTTGCTAACAAAAATAATCCGGTTCTTCCTCCCTTGTGATCAGTCGAGCATTTTTGTCCTGCAGACCAGATTTCACAGACTGAGGCAATCTCAACCACACAACTGTCAGAGTGCATTAAAATAAATCTCCCAGCCATTCTAAGATTACTCTCATCAGCAGTAAGGCCAACATGTGAGTGAGAACAGACTATTTGGGCTTGGACAGCACTGACAGAACAGCAATGCCACTGGGAAACATCAGGGAAGTCTAGGATCCCAATCATAACATGTGCAACTTTAGACTGATCTAATCAGTCTTATTTAAAAAAAAAATCAAAAACAAACACTGATTACCAAGAATATCAAACTTTTACAAAAGAGATGGCCTTTACTTTATATACACACAGATTCATGACTCATAAACGACCTCTGCTTCCAAAGACTCCGTTGACATTTAGACTCCCTGACGAGTAAATATGATTAACAACAAATGAAAGAGAAGACCAAGACTATATTCTTCTCAAGTCAAGCTGTTCAGTGTCTTGTCATCACTTGACAATGTAAGTTATAACAATGTAACATAAAACAATGATATACATCTAAATATGGAAACCACAGAGGCATTTAATATTTAGTCAAGAGGCCTGAATTGTAAAGCCATCTGCCATGAAATAGCCGTGTGACCAGAGGTCTTGTGGACATTCCGGACCTCTTTCCTTATCAGGAAATAAAGGAGAATGAACTATATGGGTGTTTTTCTCATGATTGTCAGGAGATGGGGATGTAGAGGATTACAGAATTATGGAAGGTGCTTGTTCAGACTGTAAGTGCCTCTCCCCATCACCCCCTTACTCCCCCATCCCTATCACCGAAAAGCATATCAAATCTGCACTCTCCCCATAGCTGAGAATTTCCACATTATACAATCTATCTCCAGAGCCCTTCGACACACTAAAATGTGAACACGGGATCTGAGAGCTGGAAGAAAATGCAGAGATCCTCTAACCACAAGCCAAGACCCAGAAGAACTGCTGGCTTTAACTGTAGTTAGTTATAGATGTGAAACTTTGGGAACTGTGAGGCTTCCCAAGTGGAGTAGCTTTTCTTTTTTTTAGATGTTATGTATTTATTTGAGGGACAGTGAAGGAGCAGGGGAAGGGGCAGAGGGAGAGAAGAAGCAGGCTCCCTGCCGAGTGGGAAGCCGGCAGCCCAACCTGGGGCTCCATCCAAGGACCCTGATATCATTACCTGAGATAAGTTAGATGCTTAACCGACTGAGCCACCCAGGTGCCCCCCAAGTGGATTAGCATTTTTGTTTGGCTTGGGGATGTGATAAAATACATTATTATTCCTAATCTTTACCCCTCTTGGAATCCATGCCTTGCCATGTGACTCTGTAGATCCTGCCACAAGAGTGGAACATATTTCACCATGCAGTGGTATTGGGCTTAGTCGAGTAACTTGCCTTGACCAAAGGAATGCAAGCCAATGGGATGTAGCTAATGTTTTAAATGTGCTTGTGAGGTAAGGCTCATTCTCTTGTACTCTTGCCTTTCATTATGAGGAAAACACGCCTTTGGTGGCCACTGGTCCAAGGAGTGTGAAAGACAGGTACAGCACAGCAGGGCCCCCACCCCTGAAACTTGGAGCCAAATCTAACCAGTCTGGATCACCTGAACCTCAGCCAATGCAAATTCATGGGAATGAGAAATAAATATTCACCGTCATTGAAGATGGTGCATTTGCAAGTTATGTAGCATTTTATGATAACAAGGTAATGTGAAGATAATATTTTACCTATTTTAGTAATTTAGACCTCCACATTTCCAATAGACTGTGAAATTTTAAGGAAAAACCTTTCCCTCTTTCTGACACATATATAAATATTGATATTCAGACACAAAGACTGAAGTATGATTACATATCTATAAAATAGTACATTTAAGAAAGAGTCAGATTTAGTGGCAAAGAGTCATCTACTATTTACAGACGCTGGCTCTCCTGTTGATTCGGTAGGGAAGTTAACAATCATCCCCTCTAAAATAGTATCGACCAAACATTGCAGTTATAGCTTAATCTACATTTAAAAAGCCCCACATAATTATACTGTGAAAAGCATCATTTATACTAAAGTAATATGTCATAGTCAAAGCATTATTATATCTCAATTAACCTGAATGCATAGAAATGGGAGTATTTTGGTTATTATTGCTTTATGACTAATAAAGAAACATTTTTAATCCTATCGCTCAACTACCCCCACCACTCCTACCCTAATTCAAGCTGCCACCATCTCTAGCCTGGAGTAGTTTAATAGCTTCACAATTGTTCTTCCACTTGAAACATTGTCCTCTACTGTCTGTTGTCAACACGGTAGCTAAAGTGATCCTTTTATGGGGGGGGGGGGCTTTTTTTCCCAGTGTTCCAAGATTCATTGTTTATGTACCACACCCAGTGCTCCATGCAATACGTCCCCTCCTTAATACCCACCACCAGGCTCACCCAAGTCCCTACCCCTCTCCCCTCCAAAACCCTCAGTTTTTGTTTCTCAGGACTTTAGGAGAAGGAAAGGAAAAGAAAAGTGATACTTTTAAAAATACATCAGATCACGTGGATGGAACTAGAGGGTATTATGCTAAGCAAAATAAGTCAATCAGAGAAAAACAAGTATCATATGATCTCACTGATACATGGAATTTGAGAAAAAAGGCAGAGAATCATGGGGGAAGAGAGGAAAAAATGAAATGAGACAAAACCAGAGAGGAAGATAAACCATAATAGACTTAATCTCAGGAAACAAACTGAGGGTTGCTGGAGTGGAGGGCGGTAGGAGGGATGGGGTGGCTGGGTAATGGACATTAGGGAGGGTATGTGCTATGGTGAGTGCTGTGAATTGTGTAAGACTGATGATTCACAGACCTGTACCCCTGAAACAAATAATACATTATATGTTAATAAATAAATAAATAAACAGGTGAAATTTTTAAAAAATAAAAAAATAAAAATACATCAGATCATTATCATTCTTCTGTTCAAAATACTCCATTAACTTACAAACTTATTCAAAGTAAAAGTCAAATTCCTTAGGAGTTGCCAACAAGCTCTTCGAGATCTTGCTAACCAATACCTTCCTGTTTTTCTTACTGTTACATTCCCCTTGTTCCCTGCTTCAGCCATCGTTGATGGTCCTCAAACATGCCCAGCACATTCCTGCCTTAGGTCCTTTGCACTTGCTGTTTCCCCTTCCTGAAGCCTTCATTGCCAATATCTGTATGATTCACCTCTTTACTTCATCCAGTCTCTGCTCAAATGTCAATTTATCGAGGGAGACTTCTTTTTTTTTTTTTTTAGCATTTTATTTACTCATTTGAGAGAGAGAGAGAGTGAAAGCATGAGTGGGTGTGGGGGGATGGGGAGGAGAGGCAGAGGGAGAGAGAAAAGCGGGCTCCCTGCTGAGCATGGAGCTCACTGTGAGGCTCAATCCTAGGACCCCAGGATCATGACCTGAGCGAAATGCAGACTCTTAACCAACTGAACCACCCGGGCACCCCCAATGGAGCTTTCACTTATCTCCAAGTATAAAATAGCTCCTCCTCACCCCATCCCTCTTGCCCTACTTTATTTCTCTTTAGCCCTTATCATTAATGGGCTCAATTACAAAAAAATAAAAAACTTAAAGAATATGTTTATTTATTTACTATTCTATCTCCTTAACCTATAACATAAGGCAAACCTCCATGTATTATCCACTGCCACATCCCAGAACCTTAGAATACTGCCCGGCAAATCACACGCCTGCAGTAAATATTTGGTAGATGAATGAAGAATGAAAATACTATAATTTTTTCTGATAAAAACTATTAATGTAACTAAGAATTTTCACAGCCACTTTTCTATATTACCTCCCTAATTAATAGATAAGTGCTTAAAAATAGATTAAATTAACTCAAATAATAACCTTTTTTCCTTGGACCTACACACACACAAACACCCACAACATTCCCCAGCTAAACAATCTGGAAGACTTTACTGAACTCTTTTCCTTCACCTGGCTTAACACCTTTGAATAAATTAAGGGGATATGTTGATTTCCTGCGCTACCCTAAAGCCAATTAATATTTCACCTACAATTCTATGTATGAATTAATAACAGTATTTTGTAAATGTCTGTAAAATATCAATAGAAAAATTTGCAAAAACAAACAAACAAACAAAACTAGAGGCGTACAATTCAAGAATACAAACAGCCAATAAATAAATGAAAAATCTTCATTTCGGTTACCTATCATGATTAATTAGAGAGCGAGGGCTAGGGAGAACAGAATCACTTCAAGAAAACCAATACGAGCAAGAGGTTTCTTACAGGAACAAGGAAAGCCAACTAACTAGAAAATCTATTCACTGACAAGAGTGTGGGATCAAAATACCTGTGATGGAACAGTAGATGATGTGAGGGGCAATCTTGTCTATATCTTCATATCCAAGGCCCATAGCAGACAGCCTGCCAGGGACGTAGTTTTCCACAAATACATCACAAACAGCTGCAAGCTGAGGAAGGAGGGGAAGATGAGTCAGACTTCTTAAGGGACTTCCAACCTTTGAACAAACCCCCACATGACACAATTTGGATTTTAGTAAACACAGTTGATCCTCACATTGTAATAGTCCGGAAAAATGACAGGAAAAGTAGAATTACAAAGTAGAATTAAATGAATATAAAGGCACCAGTGGGTCAACTACTATGAGATATTATGGACAATAAGACAATGGCCACTAAAATAGTCAGCAAATAGCATGGTGTTAAGGGGATATGCTTACATTAAATGTAAGAAATATCTAGGTTACATGGTCCTAATATAGTCTCAAGTAGCTTAGATAGAAAAGTTAAAATACATGTACAAAAATATATGAAAAACAGGGGCGCCTGGTCATTAAGTCATTAAGCAGCTTCCTGTGGCTCAGGTCATGATCCCAGGGTCCTGGGGTCGAGTCCCACATCGGTCTCCCTGATTGGAGGGAAGCCTGATTCTCCCTCTCCTACTACCCCTGCTTGTGTTACCTCTCCCACTGTCTCTCTCTGTTTCTAATAAGTAAATAGAAAAACCTTTAAATAAATATATATTTATTTTATTATATATTATTTTATTTTATTATATATTTTATATTATTAATATATATTATATTATATATATTTATTTATTGTATTATATACTTACATAATACAATAAATATGTAAATAAATAAAAATATATGAAAAACATCTTAAATCCTGTAGAAGAAACTACAATGTCTTTGCTATTCTCCATCCTTACTATGTAATATTCCTCATTACAACCTGCACATATGGGTACTTAATACATATAAATGTGATTCAGAAATCCTTTTATACTTTTCAGATGCTTCCTTTCCAAAAAGTTCTAAATGTATTTAATTAACCATAAAAAAAAACTATTAAACGGTAACCCCGTGTAGGCACTCCTGCCGGCAGAAAAGGACACAAACTACATCAAACACATATAGGTTTCTACATGGATCAGCTCTCGTTGCATACATTCTGCACAGTGCGTTATGTAGTACCTTACGCAAAGGGCATTTAATGAATTATTTTTAATTTTAAAAAACCCTGTGTGGGTATTTCAAGAAGTTAAACATAGAATTACCCTATGACCCAGCAATACCATTCCTAGGTATATACTCAAAAGAACCAAAAACAGAGACTCGAACAGGTACTTGTATGCAAATGTTCATAGCACCATGACTCACAATAGCCAAAAGGTGGAAATAATCCAAGTGCCCATCAATGGACAAATGTACCCATAAAGCAGAATATTATTCAGCCATTAAATAACGAAGTTCTGATACATGGTACAACATGGACAAACCTTGAAAACATTATGCTCACTGAAATTAACCAGACACAAAAGTATAAAACTTGTATGATTTCACTTATATAAAATATTCAGAATAGGCAAATCCATAGAGACACAAAGTAGATGAGAGTTTATCAGGGGCTGGAGGGAGAGGGAAGTGGAGAGCTATTGCTTAACAGGTACAGTTCTGTCTGGGGTGATGAAACATTTTAGAAACAGATAGCAGTAGTGATTCACATGAATGTAACTAATGCCACTGAATTGTACACTTAAAAATGGTTAAAATGGAAATTTTTATGTTCTGTATATTCTACCACAACAAAAAACATTTTAACTGTGTAGACTATTTGTATTTTCAGACTTTGTGGAACTCTAAATCACATCTCAATCTACATTAAGTATCCAGATGGACCACAAATAAATTCACTGTTTGAGTAAGACAAAAAAAATAAATAAAACAAATAAGTTATGCTAATAAAAAAGAATTAAAATATTATAAAGTACTCAAAATAAGCAGATTAAAAAACAACATACATTACATTATCTCATGTTTTGGGGCAAAATGAGTATACAAGGGTATAAAGAGATTTGACATGATATAGTAAAATATTAATTTTTTTCCATGAACATGATTAGTATTTGTATAACATGACAAAGATTCTTTTAACTAACAAGAGCTGTGCTCAGAGCACCAGGCAGTCTGGCTCTATCACATTATTAAAAAAATATGGAACAGCTGAGTTTAAGAGCTACACATTTCTTTTTTTTTTTTTATTTAAGATTTTATTTATTTATTTGACAGAGAGAGGAAAAGAGCAGGCAGAGAGGCAGGCAGAAAGAGAGGGGGAAGCAGGCTCCCCACCAGAGCAGAGATCTTTTTTTTTTTTTTCTTAAAGATTTTATTTATTTATTTGTCAAAGAGAGAGAGAGAGAGCGAGCACAGGCAGACAGAGGGGCAGGCAGAGGCAGAGGGAGAAGCAGGCTCCCTGCCGAGCAAGGAGCCTGACATGGGACTCGATCCTAGGACGCTGGGATCATGACCTGAGCCGAAGGCAGCTGCTTAACCAACTGAGCCACCCGTGTGTCCCCAGAGCAGAGATCTTGACACGGGGCTCAACCCCAAGACCCAGAGATCATGATCCGAGCCGAAGGCAGAGGCTCAACCCACTGAGCCACCCAGGCGCCCAGAGCTACACATTTCGACTCATAAAGATGCACAGTAGTTTTTAAGCTTGCCCAAGAACTGAGTATGTGTGCATTCTAATATTTATAAAGAACTATCCCAAAAAAGTATATAGTGCAGAAATTTTTCTTTTCTCCATTTTATAAATATTTATTTTAAAGACGTCTTAGCCACTTGCTAGATATTGATTCTTAGTTGCTTTGTCATTCAACTTATTCTCTCCTTCTCTGTTTCAGGGTCTTCCGCCATTTCAAGATCATGAATGTTTCCTAAAGCTTCAGCTAATCCTTCCTGAAAATTCTAACACAAGAATGTTAAAATCTGGGGCGCCTGGGTGGCTCAGGCAGTCAAGCATCTAACTTCGGCTCAGGCCACAGCCTCCGGGTCCTGGAATGGAGCCTGCATTGGGCTTCCTGCTTTGCAAGGAGTCTGCTTCTCTCTCTCTCTCTCTCTCTCCCCCTCTGCTCCTCCCCACTGCTCACTCTCTCTCACTCTCTCTCTCTCTCTCAATTAAATAAATAAAATCTTTAAAAAAAAAAAGGGTGCTAAAATCATAACATCAAAAAACTCCCTCTGAGTTACACTGCTCCCCACTCTAACTACAAGTGTTATGTATGACAATTGCTTCAAAGGAGCCCAGCTATTTACTGGCATTTCCCAAATACAATAATCTACTAAGAAATAAAGTGAGAGGACTGGTTTCCAGTTTTACTGCTGATCACCTCTCCCTCATCTAAGCGCTCACAAATCACCTAAAAAACTATCCTAGAATCTGGCCCAGAATAAAAAGCAAGCACAATTTTGTATGAGTTAGAGAAGCTACTATCTTTTTCTTTCTAAAACAGAAGAAAGAAAATCCTCCATCTAGCCAAAGAGTAAATAAGAACTAAAATTAAGTTGAAATACAGAGTATCTAATTCTGACTCTTTGTTACATGTAATTTAAGAACGCAGTGGAGATCAGAAATAGAAAGGAAAGTGATGATAATAATTTAACCACACTGCTAAAGAAATCATAAAGTAATTTTTTTTTTATTTTTTATAAACATATTTTTTTATCCCCAGGGGTACAGGTCTGCGAATCGCCAGGTTCACACACATAAAGTAATTTTTTAAATGTTATATCAAAGAATATGCTTATTGGCAGGAAAAGTATTCTGAAAGATTTCAGCACAAAGTTTCCTATCTTCCACTTTAAGATAGTTCACGAGGCATCCGGGTGGCTCAGTTAGTTTATCATCAGACTCTTCATTATGGCTCAGGTCATGATCTCAGAGTCATGATCAAGCCCCACACTGGGCTCCGTGCTCAGGGCAGAGTCTGCTTGAGATTCTCTCTCCCTCTTCCTCTGCCCCTCTCCCTGCTCACACTCTTTAAATAAATAAATAAATAAATCTTAGAAAAATAAAATAGTTTAAAAATACACACACAAACACACACAGAAGCATACATATGTAAATAAGCAAATACAGCAATATATTAACATTATTACATCTAGGCATAGGGTTGAAGAAAGTTCATTATACTCTTCTTTCAGCTATTTTGTACATCTGAATTTCTCATAAGAAAATAAAACCCAGGGGAGCCTGGGTGGCTCAGAGGATTAAGCCTCTGCCTTCAGCTCAGGTCATGGTCCCAAGGACCCTGGGTTCAAGCCCCGCATCGGGCTCTCTGCTCAGCGGGGAGCCTGATTCTCCCTCTCTCTGCCTGCTTGTGATCTCTCTCTCTGTCAAATAAATAAATAAAATCTTTAAAAAGAAAGAAAGAAAGAAAGAAAGAAAGAAAGAAAGAAAGAAAGAAAGAAAGAAAGAAAGAGAAAGAAAGAAAGAAAGAAAATAAAATCCATGACATTGCTCTTTGGAACATATCATGTGCACACAATATGGATATTGTGACTGTCAACTAGTTAACATAGAGAATTATTTGAAATATAAATGATATGTCAGAAAGTTAATAAATCATATTGTTATGAAAATACTGGGCTCTACATAGATTTTCTAAGCAGAGTTTTGTTTTTTGCTCAAGCTGTTTCTAGTTAGCCTAGTAGACAAAGGAGTCATATTTTTTGAAGCTCTCATGTATCCAGCTGATTGCTTTGTATGCTACTTTGGAACTGTTTCCATAAACTAAACTCAGTATATTAGCAATCATAGCCACCACGGTCTGAATAAAGATGTTGTTTTGCTACTCTTAAGCTGAAAGTGGAATCGATGCCAGAAAGCTTAAAAAGACTAGGCAAAAAATAATTCTTTCCCTAGGCAATAAGATACATAACATACTAAAAGCTAAAAACATGGAACTAGCTAAAAGCAACAGACACCAATAATGTCCCCATACAATTTATTTAAGTTTAATATGACTTGAAATGTACTTTACTATTATCAATCAGACATGAAGAGAAATCAATCTCATAATGAAAGTTAATTCAGGGGCGCCTGGGCATCTGCCTTTGGCTCGGGTCATATCCCAGGGTCCTGGGATCAAGCCCCGCATCAGGTTCCCTGCTTGGTGGGAGGCCTGCTGCTCCCTCTCCCACTCCCCCTGCTTCTGTTCCCTCTCTGTCAAATAAATAAATAAAATCCTTAAAAAAATTTTTTTTTAATTATTAAAAAAAAGAAAAAGAAAGTTAATTCAAGGTAGAATGTAAATGTAATTCAAAGTAGAATAGTAACAGACTGGCAAGATCCAAGGACAGCAAGAAGGAAGTCCTGGAGATTTGTTTACTTTGGTCAGAATCATACATGCAGTCCTAAAATACTCAAAAGCACACTTACGCATTAGTAGCAAGAGTTATGAATTCCACCTATTGAGAAGTTCTAATGAAACTGCAAAGTATTTGCTCAATCAAATCTGAAACCTTGACTACTTAGGATAAAATATCAGAATGCTCTGAAATAGAAGCAAAGAGGCAGGAACTGCGACTACCGAAGATGATACTGAGAGAACAGAAAGAGGAGACTTAAGGCAAGAACAATCTTTAAGGCAAGAAAATCTTAAAAAAAAAAAAAAAAAAAAAAAAAGCTGACATCACCTACCTGAAGTCACATAAGCTAATAAGTAAAGAAAGAAGGATTAGAACCTCCGCAGTGGAGAACTAGGGTGCACCAAACCAGTACCCAATCTTGCCCCTCAAGCAAAGGTGCTGAAATCAGCTCTGGACATATTAGCCATCTGAATAAAGGTTAGAAAAGCTTGGGCTCTCCAGTGATGGGACCCCCATCACCGGGTTCAAACCTCAGCTCTTCCCTTTACAAGCTATGTCCTCTTCGGAGCATCCCCTGAGCCCATGAGACTTACTGCCCTCCCATGAAAATGAGGATTCTAATACCCATTTACAAGTCAAATCCTGAGGATCTGAGGGAATAATATATGGAAAGTGTCCAAGCCTAAGAGTGATGCAGAGTAGGCATTCAGTCAACAGTAGATAGTATTATGACTGAAAACTTTCACAGGGTAGAGAAATATTATACAAAACATATAAGAAATTAGAAAGCAAATTTCACTTACAATAAATGTAAAGTTAAATTCTTAAATGGCATTTACAGGAAAATTAGCGATTGCCAATGAAATAAAGTTTTAAAACACTTTAACTCATGTTCAAATCCCCAGTTACAACCCAGGTGGTAAGATATCTTCCACAGAGCATACTGTACCTCTTTGATGATTTTCACCCCTTTGGGATCCTTGATATTAACAGCTATACTCTAAAAATTAAAATATATATATTAAAATAATAAAAAGGTTTCATATTACTGACAGTTCAATAAGAAAGCCATTCATATCATATGTTCTCCTGTTAAAGTGTATTTTCCTCATGAAGAAGCATTTGAATTATCGTTACTGATTTTTATCTGCAATGGAGATATATTAGGATGATAGCAAGGATTCTAGTAAAATTTTTTCAAATAATAATACCAAGTGTTAGGCAATTAGCAATCTCTGAAAGAATAAAATGTAAAGAATCAAATGATTTCTCTCTTTAATAAAATTATTCCATTATAAACCATTATAAATTCTCATGAAATAAGTTAGTAGAGAAGGAAAATTAGTAAAAAGCTCTCTTGTTTCTATTTTGTAACTAGTGAATGAATAAAATTTCACCTTCTTTTAAGTACTAATTATATAAACAAGAAAAGGATAGAAATGAATGAGCCAAGGTAATATCAAAAGTTTTGTTATTACAAAAGAATTATATTAAAAAAACAAAGGAAGAAATTATATTCTTACTTTTTTATTTCGATTAACACTGAGGAAATAAGTACTTTCTGTCCCCACAAAAGGTGGCCCCCAAGTTCGTGTATCATCACCAGCTCCTGAAAATAACAGTATGAGCTATTAATTTTTAACTCTTAAACATCATGAGACATTCAAACCAACAGTCATCCATCATACACATTCACAGATGCCTACACAAAATCACCTCAATTCAGTGGAATTAAGCAATCTACAGGGGCCTTAAAAACTTGTTGCAACTCTCCAAACTCCACCTTATTCACTAAGTCCTACCGTATCATCTCTCACTGGAATCCATCCCTGAAAGTCAATATCCAGAAAGAAATATCCTTTTAGCAGTCTTCAGATTTAATAAATGGCAAATTTAAAAGAAAAAAACCTACTTTCAGTTTTTGGCAAGCAAAAAGTAAAAATCTTTGGCAGTTTAGGTCAAAAAGTAAAAAGCTTTGGTAGTTTAGTTCAGCTCTTTCTGTGTTTCTTGGCATTAAATGTGCAAAGAAATGCTGAGTCTGTGAAAGATTTTTGTTAAATAATTAAACCAGAATAATGGTAAGCGAGATTTTATAATAAAATGGCATCATAAATAAATAAATAAATCTTTAAGTTTCTGTGAAATCCCAGAAATAAACCCAAGCATACGTGGTCAGTTAATATATGACAAGGGAACCAAGAGCTCTCGATGAAGAAAAGACAGTCTTTTCAACAAATGGTTATAGGATAATTGGATACTCACATGTAAAAGAATGAAACTGAACCCGTAGCTTACACCTTTCATCGCTCACAGAAATTAACTCAAAAAGGATTAAAGACTTAAACATAAGACCTAAAGCCATAAAACCCCTAGAAGAAAACATAGGAACAAAGTTCCTTGACATGGGTCTTGGTGATGATTCTTTTGGATTTGATACCAAAAGCACAAGCAATAAAATCAAAAATAAACAAGTGGAACTCCATCAAGCTGAAAAGCTTCTGCACAGCAAAGGAAACCATCAACAAAGTGAAAAGACAACCTATAGAATGGGAAAAAATATTTGCAAACCATATAGCTGGTAACAGATTAATACCCAAAACATACAGAGAACTCACACGACTCAAATAAAAAACCAAATAACCCAATCAAAAAATGGGCAAAGGACCCAAAGAGATACTTCTCCAAAGAAGACAGACAAAAGGCCATCAGGTACAGAAAAAGAAGCTTGACATCACTAGTCATTAGAGAAATGCAAATTAAAACCACAGTGATATAATCATCTCACACCTGTTAGAATGGCCATCAACAAAAAGACGAGATAACAAATGCTGTTGAGGATATGGAGAAAGGGGACCCCTCCTGCACTGCTGGTAGGAATGTAAGTTGGTTCAGCCACTGTGGAAAACAGTATGAAGGATCCTGAAAAAATTAAAAAGAGAACTACAATATGATCCAGCAATTCTACTTCTAGGAATATAGCCAAAGGAAACAAAAACACTAACTCAGGGCACCTGGATGACTCAGTGGGTTAAGCCTCTGCTTTCAGCTCAGGTCATGATCTCAGGGTCCTGGGATCGAGTCCCACATCGGGCTCTCTGCTCCGCAGGGAGCCTGTTTCCTCCTCTCTCTGCTTGCCTCTCTGTCCATTTATGATCTCTCTCTGTCAAATAAATAATAAAAATCTTAAAAAAAAAAAAACACTAACTCAAAAAGATATGCAACCCTATGTTCATAGCAGCATTATACACACAATAGCCAAGTATGGAAACACCTGTGCCCATTGATGCATGCATCCATCAATAAAGTTGTAGTATATATACACAATGGAATACTATTAAGCCATAAAAAATAAGGAAATCCTACCATTTGTGACAACATGGATGGACTTTGAAAGCATTATGTTAAATGAGATAAGTCAGACAAAGACAAATATTGTACGATCTCACTTATATGTGGAATTCTTAAAAAAAAAAAAAAATGAACTCACAGAATAAGAGAGCAGACTTGTGGTTACCAGAGGTGGAGGGTGCAGGCGGAGAGAACTGGAGGAAGGTGGTCAAAAGGTGTAACATATAACACTGCTATATGTTATATAGAAAATTTGTTAAGAAAGCAAATACTAATAGATCTCATCATAAGAAGAATTTTTTTTCCTTTTTTCTTTTCTTCTGTCTTTTCCTTTATCATATCTCCATGAGAGGACAGATGTTAACTGAACCTACTGTGGTAATAATGTGGTGACGATGTATGTAAATCAAACCATCATGCCATGTGCCTCAAACTTATACAATGATGTATGTTGATTATTTCTCAATACAATTAGGAAAAAATTTGTGTTATAGCAACAAATCATGAGAGGCAAAATAAGTTACTGAACAGCAGATTCATTTAATTTCCAATAGTATTCTAGAATAAAACTTTGGTCACCTAGGTCTTGCTTCAGAGGAGAAGTTTAAAACCATCAAAATAAATGGTGTTTTTTTCTGGACATCTACTTCAAGTCATATGTTTGTGTTAGATTCTGTAACTATAGAGTTACAGAAAAATTTTCCTTAACAAAAAAAGCAACTGACAATGTAGACAGAACTCAGAAAATCCATCAATGATTAAATGGCACAAAATAGTATCATTTAAAGATCTTATAAGGCCTGATTAAATATTGGTATCAGAAACTAATCACTATGAGGTGCCTGGATGGCTCAATCGTTAAGTATCTGCCTTTCACTTGGGTCACGATCCCAGGGTCCTGGGATGGATCCCAGCTTCGGGCTCCCTGCTTGGCGGGGAGCCTGCTTCTCCCTCTCCCAGCCCCCTGCTTGTGTTCCTCTCTCACTGTGTCTCTCTCTCTTTGTCAAATAAATAAATAAATAAAAATCTTTTTAAAAAAGAAACTAATCACTATATAAGTAATTACAATTAAAAACTGGCTCCCAAGAAGAGACTATTTGTGAATATGAGTTAGACTTGAAATTCTAATAATCTAAATAATATAATTAATCTAAATAATATAATTAACCTATTAGCCCATTAGACTTTACCACTAAAACTGATCAGGAAAAGCAGACATAACCTTTTGGAAAGCAAAACAGAGGCCAAAGAATAGACTCATTTATTAAAAAAATAATAACAACAACTTCCCAAGAGAAAAAAACAGAACACAGGCCAGAGGAGAAAAGAAGCATTAGTTCCAGGGGTACCTGGGTGGCTCAGTCCATTAAGCGTCTACCTTTGGCTCAGGTCATGATCCCAGGGTCCTGGGATCGAACCCCGTGTCCTGTCAGACTTCCAGCTCAGCTGAGAGTCTGCTTCTCCCTCTCCCTTCCTACCTTCCCCCACTCATGCTCTCCCACTCTCTCTCTCAAATAAATAAATAAATAAAATCTGAACAAAAAAAGAAGACACATTATCTCTAACTGGAGATGAACCAATAACAAAACAAAGAAATCATGGTAAGCATCAAATGGAATAGCATGCTCAAAATAAAAGTGAAGTGAACTATACGATCCCAAAAAGGCACTCTTCCAGGAATAAACCAGTAAGAGGCTTCACGGCAGGTGTGAATCTGGATCTTCAGGATCAGACAGGACCTCTCAGAGTAAAGAGAAAGTCCAGCCACTCTCCTGAAGCTTTCTTTTTTTTTTTTTTTTTAAACCAGATCTTGCAACTTTCTTTCCACAGACCATGGAACATTTATAGAATGGACTATATATGAATTCACCCTGAAAACCTCAGTGCATTTCAAAAAGTAGACACATATAATCCACATTTTCTTTATACTTGGCAAAGTTCTTACTTGATTAATATGGTGCATCTTCTTGCACATTACTTTTATTGACAGCAAGTAATTAAAAACGATTTGTATTAAAACACCTATGGGGTACACAGAAAAATAAAATATATAAATTATACAAAATTTTAAAGATAAAACAGGAAACTCAAAAAAACTGCATTCAGTCAAATGACTTTGAGCTGCCTCTTCTATCTTCAGTTCTTTTTTTTTTAATTTTTTATTTTTTATAAACATATATTTTTATCCCCAGGGGTACAGGTCTGTGAATCGCCAGGTTTACACACTTCACAGCACTCACCATAGCACATACCCTCCCCAATGTCCATAACCCCACCCCCCCTCCCAACCCCCCTCCCCCCAGCAACCCTCAGTTTGTTTTGTGAGATTAAGAGTCACTTATGGTTTGTCTCCCTCCCAATCCCATCTTGTTTCATTTACTCTTCTCCTACCCCCTTAACCCCCGATGTTGCATCTCCTCTCCCTCATATCAGGGAGATCATATGGTAGTTGTCTTTCTCCGATTGACTTATTTCGCTAAGCATCTCCTGAAGCTTTCAATACACTAATTTTCTTAAAATAAAGCAACGTCAAGGTAGGGCTAAAATTAGGTAATTTTACATGTTTACATTCATCTCTCAAAGTGGAAATAATGTCAGGAATCTTAATTGGAGGCCTACGTGGTTTTCCTACCCAGGGCTTTAGAGAGGATCAGTGGCCCCTGGAAAGAATCAGCATGGACAAGAAATAAAGGCTAAAGGTCACCAACTGGGAAAACTGACAGTTGAAAGATGTTTTATTGGACCCACACAAAATTTAAAGTTTTTAATTCGCTGCCATGATTTCAAAGTCCGGAGATCTCGTATAAAATCTCAGACTGCTTTTCTTAAAAGATATTTTGACACATTCAATCCATTCAGCAAATATTTATTGAGCACCTACTACATCACAGACAGTGCTCCAGGCAGAGTAGAAACAGCAGTGAACAAAGGACCACACACACCTCTGCCCTCATATTCCTGCCTAAGGAATCATTTGCTGCCCTCGTTGCCCAGCTAAGTAACTACAGAAAGAAGAGAAAGAAAATCTATGGGCTCTTTGATTACAAAAATAATAACAGTCTAAGTCCCAAATCAGAAAGCTATAACCTGGGTGGCTCAGTCAGTTAAGTGTCTGCTTCAGCTCAGGTCGTGATCCCAGGGTCCCGGGACTAAGCTCTGCATCAGGCTCCCTGATCAATGGGGACTCTGCTTCTCCCTCTCCCTCTGCCTCTCCCCCTGCTATGCTCGCTCTCTCTCAAATAAATAAATAATTTTTTTTTTTAAAGGAAGGAGGGAAGGAAAGAAGGAAGCAAGCAAGCAAGCGGGAAGGAAGGACTAGAGGAGTGGCCTGAGAAAAGACTAATTCTCTCCTGAACTTTGAAAATCCTGCCAAATTACTCTTCCTCAGATCTGTGTTGAATAACTATCTCAAAACCCGAAACAGTTAAACACATAATAGGAACATTAAAATGCATCATGCAGGGGCACCTCAGTTGTTAAGCGGCTGCCTTCAGCTCAGGTCATGATCCTGGGGTCCTGGGATCCAGCCCTGCATTGGGCTCTCTGCTCAGTGGGAAGCCTGCTTCTTCCTCTCCCACTCCCCCTGCTTGTGTTCTCTCTCTCTCCTCTCTCACTCTGTGTCAAATAAATAAATAAAATCTTTCAAAATAAATTAATTAAATAAATAAAATGCGTCATGCAGAAGGATTAAGGGAAAGCGACCAATCAGGAAAAAAACAATGAACAACGACCTACTAGGAACAAAGCTCAATCCCAAGTGTATGGCTATGGGATGTAAAGGCCTAGACAAAGGAAGGTACTCCCTACTGAAGAAAGGAAAACGTACAAAGGAGAAATAAGGCCTACATAAAGAGGGAATAATGATCTCTAAAATTAATATAAACATAAACATTTAGATTAGTGATCAACTGAAATAGCAAGAGAAAGTAGACCTGATGCTCTGTCTAGGACGGGAAGACCCAATGGCTGAAAGGAGAAGGTGCCATGGTATTGAATCTGCATAATAACATGGAAATCAAAGTTTTATGAAACCTGGAAAAGACAAAAGTGTATTCAACCAGAAAGCAAACATTATTCAGCATGCATCCCACAACAACCAAATGTGATGAACATCAGTGACCAGGTAAATGAAGCTTTTGTTACATCTGGAAAGCAGGGTTCACCGGACTCTTCCACCGCCCGGAGCCTGATAAACACAGGGTCAAATAAATACGATATAATAATAACAGAGTATTCCCCATGCTGATCAGAGAATCTTCTGCTAATTGTTTTAGCCTCCTAAGAAATCTAATAAGCAGAAAGTTGAATCTTCTACACCATGTCTTCTACTTTATAGTGTTTAATCACTTCTGGGAAATTAATAAGGTGATGTAATTATAAACTAGTCTTTTATGAGTCTTGCAGATATACGCATACTATTAAGGCTAGGCCATTTTCACTAATTTGGTAATTCTGTTCCAATCCATAAGGATCCAACTTGAAGAATAAATAATAATGGTAAGTTTTGAAACCTTCCAAAACGAGCTCCTTATAGGATGATACGGAGGACATGGAGAAGAGGGACTCTGCCCTTTAAGTGCTTGTAGGAGAGAAAGAGCATACAATAATTTCCTTCAATAGTAAGTACTGAAATAACTTTCAATAATAGCATGAGCTAAACACCCAAATACTAAGAAGGCACCAAATAAAAGTGAGAATTGTGTACACCGAATGGATTTATTTGGTGGACCAAGAGGAAAGGAAAAATGGGAAAGATGTGATGAAAAACAAACCCAAAGAACTGATCTCAGTTTCAGTGTTCCTCTCTCAAAATGCTTACAATTATAAAATGAGAAAATGTTTCTTTTATTAAAAACAGAAAAGAATGACTTATATTGGAGTATCTGGGTTCCTTTTGGAAGGACACAGATTCCTTTTCCTTCTCCTCTTCCTGTGTGTCCTGCTTCTTCCATTTTACCCTCCCCTCTTCCTGGCCTTCCCTCCATCCCCCAGCAAGGAAGGGTGGTCAGGCCAGCCCTAAAGTCAGTCTCAATGGTAGGCTTGTGGGTGGCTAAGGAGGGCCTGACCAGGGTGAGTGCATGGATATTCCTGATCAGCTGTGTGACTTTGGACAAACTGCTTTATGTCTCTGTTTCTCTGTGTTTATAATCTCAGAATAATACAGGGTCAGCCCACAAGGTTGTAGCAGAGATTAAATAAATTAATACAGGCCTCGTGTTAGACCTGTGCCTGTCACTGCAAGTCTAGCATCACTGTCACTGCATGGTGCATCTCAGTCTCTACTGGAGGCTTTCAGGTATGTGTGAAGGGCCTGGCTAAAGCCTTAAAACCTGGCACTTATAAAAAGTAAGAGGAGGGGCACCTGGGTGGCTCAGTCGTGAAGCATCTGCCTTCGGCTCAGGTCATGATCCCAGTATCCTGGGATCGAGCCCCGCATCGGGCTCCCCGCTTGGTGGGAAGGCTGCTTGTCCCTCTCCCACTCTCCTCCCCCTGCTTGTGTTCCCTCTCTTGCTGTGTCTCTCTGTTAAATAAATAAAATATTTTTTTAAAAATGAGTAAGAAGAAATCACTAGTATAGGTTCAGAGGAAAGTAAGGAATGGAGAGGAAAAAAAATAATCATTTCAATTCTCCCATCATCCCATATACAGACATATAGTTATTTTTTTAAAAAAACAGCTAAAAACTGTAGTAGTTTGGAGCGCTTGGCTGGCTCTGTTGGAGGAGCATGTGACTTTTGATCTCAGGGTTATGAGTTCAAGCCCCACGTTGGGTGGAGATTACTTAAAAATAAAATCTTTAAAAAAGAAAAACTTGTATTAGTTTCTATGTTTTAAAGAGAGCAATAGCTTTACCTGGTCTTTCCACTTTTATAACTTCTGCTCCAAGATCTCCTAAATTCATAGTAGCAAAAGGTCCCGCCAGTACTCTACAATATTAACAATGATAAATAATTACCACCTTGCAGATTTTTATATTAATTCTTAATAGCTCACTAACATAGATAAACTCATATAATTATAGTAAGAATTAAAATTTTTAAAAACTGTTCAAAAAAAGCAATTTGGCACCATGTATTCAGAGCTTTAAAATGAATAGTCCCAGGGCACGTGGGAGCTCAGTTTTAAGCATCTGCCTTTGGCTCAGGTCATGATCCCAGAGTCCTGAGATGGAGCCTCGCATTGGGCTCCCTGCTCGGTGGGAAGCCTGCTTCTCCCTCTCCCACTCTCCCTGCTTGTGTTCCTTCTCTTACTGTGTCTCTGTCAAATAAATAAATAAAAACTTTAAAAAGAAAAAAAAAAAGTATATTCCTGTGGGGTGCCTGGGTGACACCGTTAAGCATCTGCCTTCAGCTTAGGTTATGATATTGGGGGTCATGAGCTCAGGGTCCTGGGATCGAGCCCTTCAGTGGGAAGCCTGCTTTTCCTTCTGCCCCTCCTCCATCATGAGCACCCGCGCTATCTCTCAAAGAAATAAATAAAATCTTTCAAAAAAAGTATATTCCCATTGATTCAGTAATTCCACTTCCAGAATTCTATGCTAAGGAAGAAATTCTAAGATTTCCTGAGGCAAGGATTTATGAAAAAGGAAACTTAATTTGTAATTGTGAAATATTAGGGGAAGAGTAATTTTATGACAACTATATAATAAAGTATCATCTCACATTTTTCTGGAATTTTGAATGACACAGAAAAACACTCAAAATACAACATTGTCTTTTAAATGTGGGCAAAACTGTAATTTCAATTTTTTTAAGGATTTTTTTTTAAGATTTTATTTATTTATTTGACAGAGAGAGATCACAAGTAGGCAGAGAGGCAGGCAGAGAGAGAGGAAGAAGCAGGCTCCCCGCTGAGCAGAGAGCCCGATGCGGGGCTCGATCCCAGGACCCTGGGATCATGACCTGAGCCGAAAGCAGAAGCTTTAACCCACTGAGCCACCCAGATGCCCCCAAGACTATAATTTCAATATGGCTCCAATTTTTGTTTTTAAAAGTTATATATAAATATGCAGATTGGAAAAAATGCACAAATATACTTATTGCTCTTAGAATTATGAAATATAAAAAATTTTCTTTTTTGTTTTCCTTTCTAAAACTTTGATAGTAAGCAATATAATTCAAAAAATAAATGTATTTTTTTTGGAAAGAAGGGAAAACTTCAATCACCAAAACACAGAAAAACCAATACAAACCTTGTTAGATCCAGAATTTTTACACCCTCCAAGGGCTTCATATTGTCAGTATCTGGCAAAACACAGAAAATATTTTAAGAGTACTGATTACTAATTTTCAGGAGGAAGAATGCAGAATTCTTCGTATTGTGTTTTAAGTAATCTGCATCACTACCAAAAACATATGTTTTCCTTCACAATATTTCTGCTTTCTATGTAACACAGAAACCTTGACCTGATTCAGTGAAGTCAACCTGTAAAAATTACAAGGGCTGATACACAGTTAATGAAGTCCGCAGTTTGTCTAATGAAAAATAATAATAATGAATAATTATTATAATAATGAAAAATAAAAATACTGGGGGAGGAACATCCGGCTGAACACAAAGGATTTTTAGGGCACTATGCTAATATGCTAATGAATCGTTGAGCACTACATCAAAAACTAATGACATGCTATATGTTGACTAACTGAACATAATATATATATATATATAATTATATATAATATATATATATATATATGATGTAACAAACTGAAACAAACATACCACTCTGGTGGGAGGATACTGATAAGGGGGGATGTGTGATCGCAAGGGACATATGGGAATTCTCTGTACCTTCCTCTCAATTCTGCTGTAAACCTGAAACTGTTGTAAAAAATAATAATAATAAAAAAGTCCTAAAAAATAAATAAATACTGAACTAAACAACAAAAAAGGAACAACAAAAACCTCCACATACCTGTTCCATATTAAGACAGGGAGACAATATGAATTTTTTAAAAGTTTATTAAACAATCAAATGTGTATGTCCTTTTTCTCTTCACCCACCAGCTATAAAAATAAGTAGATAGGTCAACAATTATATCATTAATTCACTAAAAACATTTAACATCAACATTAAATCACAACGTTACATTCTTGCCAAATGGTTTACAAAGTTTATATCATAATGCCTGATACCAAGCTGAATTATTGGGAGAAAATGATGAACTACAGGTTCAGTACATTTTTAAATCAGACTGTTTTTTAGAGCAGTTTTAGATTTGGGCAGTACAACTGAGCAGAAAGTACCAAGAATTCCCGTGTACCTCTTTTCCCACAAATGCACAACCTCCCCCACTTTGAACATCCCTCAGCAGAGAGACACATTTGTTACAGCTGATGAAGATACACTGAAGGGTCCCTGTCACTTAATTTACAGTTCACTCTTGGTCTTGTACGTTTTATGGACTTAGATGAACACATAATGGAATGTACCAAACATTATTATATACAGAATCGTTTCACTGCCCTAAAAGTCCTCCGTGTTCTGACTACTCATCCATTCCTCCCCTCAAAACTCCAGAACCCAATCTTTTTACTGTATCCACAATTTGCCTTTTCCAGAACATGATATAGTTGGAATCATACAGCATGTAGCCTTTTCAGATTGGCTTCTTCATGTGTTTAAGTTTCCTCTATGGCTCAATAGATCATTTCTTTTCAGTGCTGAATAATACTCCGTTACCTTGATACACCAGTTTATTTAACCATCCACCTACTAAAGGACACCTTCATTGTTTTCAAGGTTTGACAGTTATGAAGTAAGCTGCTAAAATGTTGTATGCACATTTCTGTGTGGACTTAAGTTTCCTTTTTTTTTTTTAATTTTTTATTTCTTTTCAGCGTAACAGTATTCATTGTTTTTGCACCACACCCAGTGCTCCATGCAATCCGTGCCCTCTCTAATACCCACCACCACCTGGTTCCCCCAACCTCCCTCCCCCGGCCCCTTCAAAACCCTCAGATTGTTTTTCAGAGTCCATAGTCTCTCATGGTTCACCTCCCCTTCCAATTTCCCTCAACTCCCTTCTCCTTTCCATCTCCCCTTGTCCTCCATGCTATTTGTTATGCTCCACAAATAAGTGAGACCATATGATAATTGACTCTCTCTGCTTGACTTATTTCACTCAGCATAATCTCTTCTAGTCCCGTCCATGTTGCTTCTTAAGTTTTCAACTCATTTGGGTAACTATCAAGGAGTACCGGTTACTGAATAGTATGGTGAGAGTATGTTTAGTTTTCCACTCCATCTTCCAAAGGAGCTGTACCATGTTGCATTCCCACCAGCAATGAATGAGAATTCCTTAGTTCAACACAATTTTTTAAAAAATCTCAATGCAGCTCCATCACCAGTGGAAGTTACCGGAGTCACACATTTACACATACACCATTACAGTCTTGAGAAGTATCACAGTGGCACAATCATTCTTAACTAGGAGGGTGCCCAGGCCACACTGCTCTAGGAAGAAATAAGCAAAGGGCATTTTGTCCTTGAAACCAGCCAATGTATTCTTTTACAGTAAAAAATTGCTATCGCAGCAGTAGGAAATATGTGAAGTCTATGTGACTGGTGCATTATTTTTTGAAAACAAACGTATGTAGGAAACTAAATTATACACAGAAGATAAACTGATGAGCAGAGGATCAGAGAAAGGGAAGTAACTACAACAATGTTCAATGTGGTAACTGTTACAGCAGTGGCCTCCATGAATCACATTTCCAGATATCCACACGCTTGTACATTCTCCTTCCATGCTGACTCTGGGCTTGGACAACTGCCTTGGTTTAAGCCAAGGGAACATTACACAGTAGGGCTTGACTTTTTGGAACACTTCCACCTTCAGATGAAAAAGCAGAGGACGAAAGAACAAATGGAGAGAGGCTTAGCCATCCCAGTCTGTAGCTGTCCCAGGTGAGGTCCAGACCTATGGGTGAAGCCATCTTAAAACACTCAGATCCAATCCGTGCCCTCTCCAATACCCACCACCTGGCACGGATTGCATGGAGCACTGGGTGTGGTGCAAAAACAAGGAATACTGTTATGCTGAAAAAAAAAAATTAAATTAAAAAAAAAAGAACATACCACCCCAAAATATGTCACTTTGGCATACTGATTAGAAATAGCAGAAGCAGGCAGGCTCTCTTTATACCTTTATACCTAAATTCAGGTTATAAATTTCCCAGAGAAAGGTACCCTCCCTGTTCCCAGGAAGAGAGGCACATCCTTACCATCAGTGATAGAAATGAATCTGTACAAACCTTACTAAAATAACCTTAACTTCCATTAGTTTTCTCAATATATTTCCTAGTCACTTTCCCACGATTTACTGCTCCTAGCCCAAAGCCCTTTTTCCTTTGTCTTGTCATATCTCCATGATATATCACTCTTTGTTAAAATGATATATAAGAATCTCTTCTTTAGGGTATTCATTTCCTTCCATGAAGCCTCCCCATGTCACATAGAAATATTAACATCAAATAAAATGTGTATGCTTTTTCTCCTATTAACACATCTTTCATCAGTTTAATTCACAGGCCCCAGCAAGAATATAAGAGGGTAGAGGAAAAGTCTTTCCTATACTTGCCTACTTGGGTCATTCCCAATCACAGATGGATAGCTTTCAACAGTTCATCACGAAGTATGGCTTTAAAAAAAAAAAAACAACAAAAAAAAAAAAAACACTCAGATCCAGGGGGTGCCTAGGGTGGCTCAGTGGGTTATAGCCTCTGCCTTCGGCCCAGGTCATGATCTCAGGGTCCTGGGATCGAGCCCCACATTGGGCTCTCTGCTCTTTGGGGAGCCCTGCTTCCTCCTCTCTCTCTGCCTACCTCTTTGTCTGCCTGTGATCTCTATCTGTTAAATAAATAAATAAAATCTTAAAAAAAAAAAAAAACCCACTCAGATCCAGCCAGGTGAGTGAGTTCAGGTGAGTCTAGCAGGACACTCACAGAACTCTGAGAAAAAATAAGCCACTGTTGTTCTAAGCCATTCAGTTTTGAAGTGGTCTGTTGTAGAGCAATAGATAAACAGATAAAATGGCTATGGCAGAGCAATCCTTTCAAAATGTAAAACATATGTCATGCCTCTGCTCGAAATCCTCTAATGGCTTTTTACCAAACTTAGAATGAAACCCAGCATCTTCCCAAAGCCCACAGATGTTGCTTGCTCTAGCCCTCTGCTACCTCTCCGGCCATGACCCCATCCCTCCCGCCCAGATTTCCCCAGCTACATTAGCCTTCTTGCAGTTCCTCGAAAAGACTGAGCATATTTCTGTTTTAGGGCCTATGGCAGAAACAGAGCTGGACCACCAAGATTCCCCTTCAAAGAAAGGCATTTCTGCCCAACCTACAAGAAGCATGGTCAACTTACAGCTCCAGCATTGGTTTCCTCAAGGTCCACCTTTCCTCACTCAGCTGAGAGTGCTCTGTTCTCAGGACAGTCCCTGGTCAAATGACTGAGCAAAGGTGGGCAGAAAGGCCTGTTCATTTCCTCCACCCACTGCAGCTCTCCTTGGTGTACTGAATTTGACAGGTGCATGCAAGTCTGATGGCTCATCTGCCCAATCCTATTTCTTTCCTTTCCCTTTCACGGGTGTTACTCCCCAATAAATCCTTTGTCCTTCCAACTCTGTCTCAACATCTGCTTTCTGGAGAATCCGAGATGTGACAGGACCTTTGCACCTGCTATTCTCTAGTCCTGGAACTCTTTTCCTCCACACATTTGCATGTTTTGCTTACTTCACTCAAATTTCTGCTCAAACACCGCACTCTCAGAGAAACCTTGCCTGATCATCCGATCTCAAACAGCACCTCTCTGGATCTCAGTATGCTTTAGTTTTCTTTATAACACCTACCATTACTTCACATTACCAGATATGTTTTTTATTGTACTGTCTTTTCCACTAGAACGTAACCTCAGTGAAGGCAGGACTTGTCTGTCTTGTATCTCCTGCCAGAACAGTGGCTGGCATACAGTAGGCACTCACTAAGAATTAGCTGAAGGGTCACACAGGGAAGCGGTGAGGGAGGGAGGAAGAACTCATATACTTAATAATTCATATGATCATTGCAATGGACTGAATGTTTGTGTCCCCCCAAAACTCGTAAGTTGAAATACTAGCCCCCGAAGTTATAATATTAGGAAGTGGGACCTTTAAGGTTGGAACCATCGTGAGTGGAATTAGTACCCTTATACAATGAGCCCCAAAGAACTTCCTTGCCCCCCTTCCACCATGTGAGGACATAG